CTACAAGTGTCTTTCAGCTAAATGAGGCAATAGCTTCCATGCGTCCAATCCTTAGAAAATGCAGGTATTGCCAGAGTTTACAAAAGCATGGTGTAATTCGATATCACTAATAGCTCAGTAAAGCAGCCAGTTTCTGTTGGAAGTTAAGATGCTACACTTTCAATTGATAGTGTGTTTGCATTCCTAAGTAGAAGAGATGTTTTATTCTGATTTGACTTTGATGAAAAGTTCATTTTGTGCACAAAGTTACTTTTTCTACAGAAAGAAAACACATCCTTTACATTTTTGCCATGTTTTGTCAGGCATAGATAATCAAGTTTGGGGACAAATGTGTGGTGGGCTCCTAGCTGGCTACATGTTAATGGTGGTCTGTGATTTTTTTTATAACATATTTAAATGTTCTCACCATGCTGCATACTCTGGGGCTTGAAGTATGCAAAACTAAAATCAGGTAATCTAAGTGGTTCTACCACTAAATGTTTATGGGCCATTTATATCTTACCTTTGATGGCTTTTTTGGAAATAGATAGTTTGCATATCGCTGATGACAACAGCGCAACTTGTTTGGCATGGAAAATGGGTTAACTCTACTTTGTTGGGGTAGCACGGCTCATGTTTATAGGTCCCCTAGGCACAGCTTCTGTATAGTATTTTTCCTTTAAGTATTTTATTTTTAATATTGCCGGTGTGCTGATTGAAAAATGTCTGTTGCTGAGCAGCAACTGAAGGAAAAAATTAAGTAAATGTTCATGAAAGACATGCAGAGCATCAGGATTATGATTGGCAGTAATACAATGACAAGGTTAAAATTATTATTATTATTATTTTATTTTTTTTGCTGTACTGCTTGTAAAATCAGATTCAGTTTAAGGGGAGCCTGGCCACTTCCTTCTCCTCCCGTTACATTAGACTGCGAAATGAATGGTCTTTAGCGAATGGTCCTCAGTCCTCAGTGAATGATGTGAATGGAGCTAAATGGCTAATAATGAAAAAAATATATACTTATCTCCCTGACCATTTGTACAAGACCTTTGTTTAGTTTTGAAAGGTGGAGAGATGTATTTCACTAAAACATCAAAGACAATTTGCCAATATCTTTCCAGTTTTCTAGAGCAAATGGGTTATGGGCAGTAGGATGCTAGCATTACTGCTACCAAGTGCTGATTGGCTGGTGAGCTGTTCAGCTCAATGAGTGAAATGATTCACTTGCATTGACATCATGGACTTACATGAAGCACTGCTAGAAATGTATATAACTGGAGGTTGAAGGTGCTCATAAAATCCAAATATTAAAATATAACAGCAGTGTTAAACTATTATGTGCTGTACTGTTTAGAAAATGCCGGTGTTTTTCTGTATAAAAATTAACTACACAAAAACTCCACAGCGCTCCATTTGTTTTGGATTCACTTGGGAGCGCCCTCTAGTGTCTGACAAACCCAAAAGTCAGCGGTATTCTCCTCACTACACATTCTCTGGTAAAATTCCTGTAGCAAGTCAAGGAAGCTGTTTAAATTTTGTCAGAATTGCTCAGAATAGTTGCTTGGACCCCTGGGCACACACACATAAAACCACTGCGAGGATCCTGCCTGTTTTTTGTCATTTGTCCTGATATAGAAACAAAAACATGAATAAAATTCAAATGTAATTTAGTATATAACTACAGTCTTATGCAAAAGTTTGAAAGCCCTGGTCAAATGATGTGATGGACTGGTGACCTGTCCAGGGTGTATACAGCCTTCCACCCAATGACTGCTGGGATAGGCTCCAGCTCCCCCCACGACCCAGAAGGATAAGCGGCTTAGAAGATGTGTGTGTGTGTGTGGTCAAATGAGATGGATTAATTACTGTTCTCTGTAGGGTGTGTTAACTTATTTTCACTTAAAAAATCAACAAAAGATGTAATTTGACCAGAGCTTTTAAAACAGACTGTATATAATCTGATAACTAATCATCCTAAGAAGATCCACTGCACTTGTACAAGATTATATTAACAAAGACTATTATTTATTATAAGCTACATTTAGCTATTAATGCAAAAAAAATGGGAAAAATGTGGACAGAGGGAATAGTAAACTACATTCTGACCCTATTATTCTAAATTGTCCTCCAACTTCCACACCTAGTGAAAGATGTAACTCAAAAACCATGACCTGAGATTCTGCAGTGTACGCATTCAAGAGTCTTGGTGTGTGTAAAAATATCCACAGTTCATTTTTAGACACAGCGGTCACTGCCTGTAGATGGTCGTACAGTAAATAGAATCTTTCTCTCTGTCACCTTGCCATGTGCCTCCCTGGCCTATAAAGTACAATCAGGTCTACCCACAGTCGATTCACATGTCTGCAGTGTAAGGAAATTGGAAAATCTCCTCAGATGTGAAACGCAAACCTTTGAAAGCTACACAGTTTGTGCCTGTGGACAGTTGGTGTTTCTAAACTTTGTGAAAAAAGATTATCAGGCCTGTTATGTACAGTTTGGCAACAAGGCTGATAGTAACAGGGTTTATGTTGGCCTAATTATTTATTACATTATTAATAAAGAAAGCTGGCGAAATTAATTATTGCACTTATGTTGAAAGCCATGGTACCATGTAGTCATGAGTATAAGATCTTTTATCATTTTTGCATGGAAGTGCAAAAACAAAATGCTGCCTGCATATTAAATTAAAGAATCATTGTTATGAGGAAAACAATTCAAATGGACAAAAATATGGCACACAGCTTATTTTACTTCTTTGTCAGATGAAATTATATCATTTCCTGTGAGCCATTCTAATTGTATAACTGTGTAAACAGACATGCTTTTGGTAACAGGGCTGATTTAGGATTTGGGGGGATGTATATATATATTTTCAAATACTACTGTTAATGTCAGTTTTTCACAGCAAAAGAGGAAAATGTTTTGCATTTAAAATATGTAACATTAATTAGCCCAGCTGAAAAAAACAGCACAGACCAGCAAGCATTTCATGTTGGTCTAAGCTGGTCTAAGCTGGTTTAGCTGGCCGCCCCAGCATGGTCTTGCTGGTTGACCAGCATACCAGCATCAAAACAGATGCTGATTTTGATGGTGATCAGTATATCAACTTTCATTACTGCTGACCAGCAGACCAGCATCAAAAACACATGCTGGTTTTTCTGGTCTCTATGCTTCTAGCAGAGAGATAAAAAATTATTCTATACATTTTCAATCAGAAGGTTAAACGGACTTGGGGCACAGATTAATGAACGTCATTGACAATTATCAGTGTAAACGATCTCACAATGCATATGTAAAAAATAAATAAAAATGTTTTTTAAAAATGTGCACAGTTTCACCCGCTTTAGGGTCTGATTCACCAGTTAAAGCTTTTAATCGATGCCAAATCTCCACCAACTGTACTGTGTAAAGTTTTAGTACATCAGTCTTGGCTACAGTAGCCAACACAAATGAAATTCAAAACGTTCTCTGGGTTAAATAAAGTTAGCTAAATAGTAATTACCAGTATTTAACAGTATTTACTATTTATCTAGGTCAATTTATGCTAATCTAAAGTGTGCGGTTTAACAGTTTTTAATCGTTTAAAGGCTTTTGTTCCTCTTCCTAGTATGAGCAAACTTATCTTGGCTAGTCTAGTCCTAAATCAGAATGAACGGAATGAATTAATGGGTTTCAATGCTAACTTAGCCAAATGATAATTAGGAATACAAAAGTGAGAAAATAATGTAAAATATATGGCTGTAGTCTGTTTCTGTTCTTAGTTCCACCCATTAGCAAATGACAGACAGAAATCAGAAAGGACTCTGGGTTGAATGTTAGGCTAGCCCAGGGCTCGAGAACCCAAATGTTAAGAAGAGCCATTTTGTCCTTTCAATTAAAAACCAAACCACTTTGGGAGCCACAACACTTTATGTCCATTTTACCATCTTGGCAGTAAATAAGTCTTATTACAGGCTAAAAAATATAATATAAATGAAAACGCAGACTTACTTTGCTCTGCTTTAATCTTTAGCTCAGCTATAGCCGCTTTTCTCGCATCTCCAGCAGGAAACTTTTTTTGCAAAAGTAGAATAGTTTCACGTCTCTCAGCATTCGGCTTTGTACAAGGCTGACGTCAGCCTCTTATTCTCCAGCTTTTTGTTAGAATTTCCTGTTCCACCTTAAATGGAGCCTGAGGCACCAGAATATAACTGCTGTACCATTTAAGGTGGAAAATGAAAAATTCAAATGGGAAGCTGGTGAATAAGAAACTGACTTCAGCCTTGTGACTTTTTAGCGTTTGACAGTTTCTTGTTGGAGATTAAACGTATCAGGAAACCAGCTGGAGTGATTATAAAAGTGCTTACAAAGTCGGTTTGTCACCAAATTATCGATGTTTGTCTTAAATCTCTCTCTATGTTTTTTCGTTAGCTGCTAGCTAGGCGAGACTGTTATCTGCGTTGCTATGGTGACCAGCAGTCTGTGTGCCAACCTTCAGGGTTAAAGCATGAATTAGCAGTTCTACATTAACTCCAGAGTTTAAGACCATTTATTGTTAAACTGTGTTGAACGATCAGCAGAGCTTTATTTTACTGTAAAGGAGGATTATTTTATTTTTTACCTACAAATCTAATTCAGCTGTGGAGCCACAACAGGGCAGTAACAGAGCCACATGCCGCTCTGGAGCCATATGTTGCCGACCGCTGGGCTTGCCAAACAATGGATAGCAATACACTGTACAAATGTAAAGTCTAGCAGCATAGAGACTACTGTAGGGTTTTGTTCACATTCTTAGCATTATCAGTTCTTTGCTCATAAAGTAGCATGGGAACCAGTTTACATATGTAATTTAAGAACATAATGGAGTACAAAGTAGAAACAAAGGGTCTAAAATAAGCTGTAGTCTGGTACAGAGTGGGCTACTGTTAGACCACCTTAAATAAGTGACGGTATGAAAGTTTCTTTCACAAATGTAGACACAGGCCTGTGATATTCACCACAATGGATTTTTTCTTCTCTAGGCTGTGGAGGAACGACAATTTCCCGGAGGCAGGAAGGTTGGCGGTTGTCCTCTCCTCCTTTTTTTGCTTGAAAATATAAGCATGTGATTAACACAGCCGCACTATTTCAGCCTATTTGTGCATTTCATTGCTCCTGCTTCGAGGGACTCGGCAACAGCAGCAGCTGTTTTCCACAAGGACACGGGTAACTATCCAAAACAACTGCCTCTCACATCCACACTGACACTATAGCTGCTGAAATTCTTTGTATTTTTATCTCTTAAAAGCTGATTTTCTATTGAGTGAGAAGCACCAGAGCGGAAAAAATTTCATGTGCTTAGTGTTACACAGATCAAGGGCTTGGCTAATGTTTCTAATGGCTGCTTAAGTGCATTAGGTGCCTGTCAGGGTTGATTCATTTGGCTGGGTCCAGTTACTTCTAGCACGCTGCAGTAATCATTAAATGGTTGCAATATGCGTAGTTCTAAAGAGCAACAGCAGATCAATACTATGGATTAGAGCATTAACATATTTGCAGAGTGTGGGTTTCTTTTGCCGTTACGGCATCATTCATCTTTAAATGTAATGCATGCACAATTATTTAGTCATTTACAGCCTGCAGTTATAATGCAATCAGTAATTTCATCAACAGTTGATAAGTTATTCCTTATGCACACTTGACTTTGATAAGTGGTGGGAGGTATTTTGGCTCAAACATTCATATACATTTATAAAGGTTTATTCATAAATAATTTATAAGACAATCATGCTAGTTTCTGCTGGTAAGAGAGCTTTGAGTGAGAAGTGAGGCTTGGTTTGTTTGAGAGTCCTTTTTTTTCTTTGTTGTCTAGGGTACACTCTCTTTACCAACACCAAAGTTCAAAGGCATCAATACATTTCCTGTCCCACCTTTTTTTGTCTGGCCACACAAAGATCTAGCATGGATAAGAAACTGGACCTCTCCAGGCTCACGGACGAGGAGGCCAAGCATGTATGGGAGGTCATCCAAAGGGATTTTGATCTGAGGAAGAAAGAAGAGGAAAGACTCGGGTGAGCCTTAAAGACGTTACTTTGGGAGCCTGTTTAGAAACACCAGTTAATTCACACATTCGCTCCTCTGAATGTGTTCAGGTACCTCAGCTGTAATGACTGGCTGGATTGTGCACACGTTCTATAATTAGTGACTGTCAACCCTGAAGGGCATGTGCAGGCAGTATCATGACCGCTCTCGCCTTGTTCTTTCTATAGAATATGTCAGGGGCAGCGGAATGTAAGGGTGAAAAGCCTCATGTTGTGAGGCAGTTCCCATTATGACGATCATGGCAAAGTCACAAGGCCAGATCGCTCCATGGCTCTGCCTGGGAAAACAAGATGCTGTGAGAACTATTCTTTCCCTTTGCACAAAGACCTCTCTGTTGGGTACTGCTTTTTCACTTGCTTATGTCTGAAAAATATGCCTTTTTCCCCCGTCCCATGAACCAGGTTTGTCAGTGTCAGCTTATGTCATGTCTGCTGCCAGAGAGAATGGCAGCCATCAAGTTTTAGTGTTGAGGTATTGCTCACTGAAGCTGGGGACAGCTTTCTGTATCTAGATTTAGTGTAGGCCCAGAGAGGCCTAGTAAAAAGTATAACGTCATAAGCTTTGACCAGTATATCATTTGCCAGCACTAGGGCTGCAACAAACAGTGATTTCGCTAATCGATCAATCGGTTCATTTGTGGTTTAGATTAGTCGATTAATCAGGGAAAGAAAAAGTGCAGCCAGTGGTTTGTCAATAACTAAAGAATTCACATCATACATAATGTTTCAACAATACATGGATTAGGTAGGTAGGTAGGTAGGTAGGTAGATAGATAGATAGATAGATAGATAGATAGATAGATAGATAGATCTATAATATCTATAACCTGAGATGAACGTGGCAGTGCAATAATGACTGTACGGCATATAATGACAATATTGAATAAATATGTGCAGATGTTGGTACCAAAATAAAGTGTCTAGGTATGGAGTGTCCAGATGTGCAAGATGCGCGATAGTGGTTACAGAAAGTACAATATGTACAGTAAGGTGTTCATATGTGCAGATGGATAAAGTGAAACCTACTCCTCCTTTTGCACTATACTCTTTCAAACATAAAACACCAACACTATCATCTAAGTCATACTGTTATCAAGGTCAATAAGGCCTGAAGCTGACTTCTCCATTGCCTTCAGAAACGCTCTTTTACTTAGTGTGAAAGATGTAGAAGTATGAAAGAAATGACACAAACAAATCTAACAAGGAAGTGCACGTGCTATAGATAGTAGTTTGATTCTATAAGAAGTTTGCATTGCTATTGAACTTATTTCTCCTCAATTCATGAAGCAATTAAATAGTTTGTGTGGTCAGTAATATCATGTAGTCAAACCTGATATTACCGAGCACACAGAATCAGCCCGGTCAGACATGCAGGGCCTTAAAGCATGTTTACCCCTTGTCAAAGAGCAGTAAACAAGCATGTGTGATGTCAACATTTTCAAAAATACGCAAAACACAGAAAAAAAACAAGAAACACATAAGAAAACACAGAAACAGAGTTTTTAAAATCTCCATTCTGGAGAACATTTTCCACGTTTGTTTTTCACGACCTCAAAAGGCATTTTCATGCAGGCGGAAGGCTAAAACAAGTCGGTAAGACAGTAAACCTTCTTACTTCTCATTTTGGAAGTTGTCACCGCAAACATGTATGCTCATTAGATGACAAACATTAAAGCTAATAGTGCCCCCTGCTGGAGAACCTTCAGACTGCTAGGTGGGAGTTCCAAAGCCACATCCAGGCTAAGTGCTTTATGTATTCCATTGTTAAATTTATCACATTCATTCAAATGCATAAATAAAATAGGAAATGATATTTAAAAGACTAACAATGCAATGATAAAAGTGTAGCTAGCTGAGAGTTTATGAGTGCAATGAACATTTTAAGACTGTAAAATGCAAACCTTGTATTTCATTTTTTTGTTTGGACTGCTCATTGCTGGCTAAATCAGCCTGCTTTAGTCCAACTCCAGTAGCTGCTCAGTTTAGGCTACAGGCTCCGTTGTTGGCTATATTAGTGATCAGATGTGAAATTAAAGTTATATTGTGTTACCTGCTCATAACAAACCACAGCCAGCATGAGGAAGTTCACTGTTAACCGGCATATTGAAGGTATAGTACCATGTAGCTAACTTTATTAAGAAATCAGCAGGTATCAGACTTTTGTCTTATTATGAGGAGCTGCATGAGTTTTAGTACAGATGTATGAGGTTTAGTACAAACAGCCTTTTATAATGTATGTTTAATGTGTGCTTTTACAGTAATCAGTGAGGACAGAGAGACAGATAGACAGACAGACAGACAGATAGACAGACAGACAGATAGATAGATAGATAGATAGATAGATAGATAGATAGATAGATAGATAGACAGATAGAGAGACACACAGACAGACAGAGAGATAGATAGATAGATAGATAGATAGATAGATAGATAGATAGATAGATAGATAGACAGACAGATAGATAGCCAGACAGATAGAGACACACAGATAGATAGATAGCCAGACAGATAGAGAGACACACAGATAGATAGATAGATAGATAGCCAGACAGATAGACAGACAGAGAGACACACAGACAGACAGAGAGATAGATAGATAGATAGATAGATAGATAGATAGATAGATAGATAGATAGATAGATTCCTACTGTCTGAGGACTTGGTAGTTTTAAAGCAAAGTATTTGTAATGATCCATAATGCATTCACATTATGGATCATTACAAATACTTTGCTTTAAATATCTAAAATATCTTTTATCAATAAATCAAATGGAAGTGATGTGGCAAGTGAACTAGAAGGCTCTCATTCAGAGACGCTGCTGCCACTCATCTGCGATAAAATGCGCTGCTGCCCTGAAATAAGATCCAGTGGTGATGGGTGTCCACGCAGCGCGTTACAGCCGTCCTTCCCGTTTTCTTTAGTGATCTTATAACTTCAGTTTTGGTCTCGTTGTAGAGTGTGCGTGTGTGTGTGTGTGTGTGTGAGTGTGCGTGTGTGTGAGTGAGTGTGTGTGTGTGTGTGAGTGTGCGTGCGTGTGTGTGTGTTGGGGGAGGTGTATTTTCAAGACTGGACGCTGAATCTCGGCTCCAAAGTGTGCAGCATAGCGCGAAAGCCCTGGTTCTCAACAACTGAGAACAGACAGCAGACAGCAGGTCACACAGCCCCGAGGTCTGGCCTCGCCAGTAGCGAACGAAAAAACAGATTAAGACGGACATTTGGAGACTTATTCGCATTTATAAGCAGCGGTTGGTTAAATCTGCTGAGAGACTGTCTTTCTCTAAAAAGATGCGAAAATGAACTCGCTTCTCTTTCGAATTTTCCTGTTCCACCTTAAATGGTGCAGCAGTTACATTCGACGCCTAAGGCAGAATTTAAGATGGAACGGGAAAATTAAAACGAGAAACTGGCGAATGAGAAGCGACTTCAGCCTCATAAAACAGCCGGACGCTGAGACATTTTACAAGAGACTCTTCTAGTTTTGAGGAAAGGTTTTCTGGCGGAGATGGGAGGAAAGCGGCTAAAGCTAAAGCTTAAAGCAGCGCGAAGTAAATCTGCGCTCTCGTTTATATTTTAGCCCATATTAGGACATTAACACATACTGAGACATACTGGACATTAAATGTTGTGGCTCCTAAGGTGGTTTGACTTTGTTGAAAGGACAAAATGTCCCTTCTTAACATTTGGGTTGCGACCCCTAACCTGGCTTTAACGCAGAGGGTGTCAGTCGGATTTCTCGCTCATCCAGTAGTGTTTTTGTTATGTGCCGCCACAGACTGTCCGGGCGCCGCACTTACCCACTTCCAGTTCCGCCTTTTGCGTTCCGTCAACATTACGTTACAAAATAAATATTTAGAAAATCGATTTTTGACATTTATGAATCGATTCAGAATCGTTCGCATCCGAATCGAGTTTTCCCCGCACACCTAATAGATAGATAGATAGATAGATAGATAGATAGACAGACAGACAGACAGACAGACAGATAAATAGTTAAATGATTAATTAAATAAACTTAAACAGGGCAACTGGAGTTAAATCAGTTAAAGTAATAGTAGGTTATAGAAGATTGGGGAGATGGGGAAGTCACAAATGAAAGGAATTCGGCAGTTAGTTTGTTCACTAAACTGTAATTGTAGTAACAGCCCTGTTAGTATGGTTGTAGAGGATGTGTTAACTTTTCACTTAGAAAATTAACAAAATATGTAGTTCAGCCTGGGGAGTTCAACATATTGTGCGCGATTATATTTGGTGTTAATGTGGTAACAGATATACATCTGAGCATGGCGAGAGTTTGATATTAATAAACCTTCATTTAGTACATATTAACTCCTGTATTTGAGATGGAACTTCAATGGCTGTCTGTACAGACATGCAAAATGCCTGTGTTAAAAAATGAAAAATAAAAAAACTTGCTTTTTTGACTTACACTGTGTTAAAGATGAATTCTGATTTAAGTAAAAATACTTATTAGCACTTCTTAGTTTTCATGGACTCATCTGTTTTGATGGAGGTAAAAGCTGTGACCTTTCCTTTCTTTGCTGTGCTGTTTCTGTTGACCTGTCTCAGAGGAAAGCCTGTATCAGGTGATCAGAGCATGACAGTGTAGAAGCAGCCTGTGAAAGCAGAGCTGATCTGTACATCTAAAATAATCTCTGGTGAAACTGCAGTTACTGGTCTGCAGTGATGGGATTTCAACCCCTTTTTTCCACCTGTTCTGAAGGAGCTAAGTTTATAAACAATCTTCGTTTTTCTTTAGAACATTGATGGAACATATTTAGATTTTATATTTAAATGTGTGTGATTTACAAAAAACAACTGAACTGGTGAGCAAGCAAGTCAACATTTACAAAGAAACGTATTTTGTGATCAATTTTTTGGTGGTACACAAAGATGGTTCTTCAAGGGTTCTAAAGTGAAGAAAATAGTTCTTCAAAGACCGTATAGAACCATGAACACCGAAAGAACCCTTTGCATGATTAAAGGGTTCATTGCATCATGAAAGTTCTTCAGATTGATGGAAAATGTGCATGAATGTGCTGTAGATTGTTCTATATAGAGTCTTTTTGAAATGGGTTCTATATAGCACCCAAAGGGTTCCTCTATTGTTACAAGCTTGACAGCATTTTCAAAAATGTTATATATAGAACCATCTACACATTGTCCATCAGTCTGAAAAACCCTTTCGTGATGCAAAGAATCCTTTAATCATACGAAGGGTTCTTTGAGTGTTCCTGGTTCTATATAATCCATTTTCTTTGCTAAAGAACCCTTGAAGCACCATCTTTTTTAGGGGTGTACACAATTGTTTGATATGAAAGTCTCAGTTATGTTGTCCATTTTATCTCAGCACATAGTCTTTGTGGAGAGGATTGCAGGAGGTTCTCAGATTCCCCCCTCATTGCTCACTAGCAGCTCAACACACAGTCACTTTTTCATTGTATTAATTACATTCCACCAGTGGCCACTAGGGGGTCTGCAGAAAGTTGAAAGAAAAATTGCTCACGATAATGTTACAGTGTGTATTTAACATCGCTGTATACTGGATTAACTAAACCCGGCATGTTGAATGCTCAAGCCCCTGCTTTTCGCCTCATGCATGCTTCAAGCAGTGGTATCAAAAATTGCATTGGTAAGACATCCAAACATGATCTTGGGTCTTTCAGGACGTTGAGGACTAAGATCGAGAAGGAGGATACAAAGCGGGAGTTGCTGGGCTCTCAGTCTAACCTGGCTGATTCCCACTGCATCCACTGCTTGCAGCCCTTCAAGTTCCTGGTCAACAGCAGACGCCAGTGCCTGGACTGCCACCTGTACACCTGTAAGAGCTGCAGCCGCTACAGCAAGAAAGAATGTGGCTGGGTTTGTGACCCCTGTCGAATGTCCAGGTGAGTCCTTTGGGGAGCTTATATACAAAGAGTTGTCAGTTTATTAGGGACACCTCCCTTGTACCTACACTCATTTTATAAGGTACACTTACCGTAGTACCTGCACTCTGTTTATACCAGATACTAATATCTGCATCAGCTCCAATATTGACACTGCAGTATATAATAGTGAGTATTGTTAGTAATAGTGTTACACTGATATCAGTACCAGTAACAGTATCAGCACTTTAATTCAGATTCTGGCACGTCAATACAGTATTGGTATCTGTAGAATATTCTCACAGCTTTTCACAGCTACCGGTGTTGTTGTTCGTACGTGGTATCATCAAAAGTACGGGAGTCAGTGTAGTATCATCGCAGTTATTTTTAAAGTACACTATACATGTAAATATATTACATTATACATTCTTTGCATATATGTTCTTAAGAAATGTAATTGTGATTCATTATAGGAGTTCATTTATGTGATTGTAGAAGTTTATTTCAGTTCATTTATGCTTCACAGTTCATAATAGGTCAAATAATTATTTGCATACATTTCTGAACTATTAGAAATCCCAAAAAGATCTGCATTTGGTTATAAGACTGCATGAAGAATCTTGTAGGAAGTTGCAAACATCCAGCAAGGGAAGTTTCCCTAGTTTTGCTTGTCAATAAAACAGCAAAAGTAAAACATTATGTTTTAGTTTCATGTCTTTAATCATTCTCTTTCAGGAGTATAACACAGATTTCAGTAAAACTAAAACCACTACAAACTACTAGATCAGATTGCAGGAAAAAAAAATTAAATTCTGTGATTAAAGCCTTGTGTGACTAAATGCTAGAAGACTACGCTGCTCCTTTGGTCCAAACCAGCTCGCCACTGCCACACACTGACTGAATCCATGCTGTATGTTGGGATCTGATTTAATATCATATCGTCATTGTCAGAACAAAATATCCTCTCTCCAAATGGCAGCTTTACAGGAGGAGGAAAAACATTCCTAACTTAAAATGGAAGTTAATGTAAAAAGATTGTTTTCCAAGTAATCTTGGTCCATTTCTGTTGGTCTGTTTTTCTTGAAATTTTAACACAATGCAAACAAAGGATAACTGGAGTTTTCGAATTATGCAAAAAAGTAAATATATGACAAAAATGTAGATGCAGTGTTTTTGCTCAACAGCAGCAATATGTATAAAATCAATCAAGTAGTAGTTTAAGCTCTTTTAACCTTGAAACAACTTCTTGTTTGCACAGGGTCCTGAAAATCGGAACCCTCGGGTGGTACCATGACAACGTGCGCTCTCGCTTCAAGCGCTTCGGCAGTGCCAAGGTGATGAGGTCACTCTACAAGAGATTAAATGAAGAGGGTGAGTGCTATAAAAAACATGCTGATAGCCCGCAATGTGTCAGAATGACCTTTCGCATCATCACACCGTGTTATTATCATTTTCCATGGATCTGCCAAGCAAACCTGATACGCTTTTACACTGAGGAGCCTGAAGAGGCACTTCTTTGTTTCTTTGCACAATTCACTAACAATTTGTTTGGCCAATTTGTTGCCGAATTTGTCCATTTTACTGGTATCTGACTGTACAAGAACACCAGAAACAGACGATTTATAAGAAGAGGGCTGAGTTGTTTTCTTATCTGCCCTACAGTAAATACTTTAAACCATCCATTCACCATAAATCACTAGTGAAAGTCATATGAGAGTCTGGTTCTCACATGAGGGGCTACCAGACAAGCTTGACAGCACTGGTCAGTTAAAGCTAAGCCTGCATTGCTCCTGCCACAAAGCAGGATATTAGGCCAGTGACTTGCTGATCTGGTAGAGCTGGAGGGCTGTACCCATAACCCTGACGTAATAGCAGATCACATGCTGTTCTGGGGTCTGAACAGGGTCTGTTGAGGATGTTTATTACTGCTGTGACTTGCATGATGAGACATGTTATAGAGAAATGGAAAACATGTTTACAATGCATAGCACCACATAGCACTGCACAGCACTGAGAATATCCTATCATGATATCAGTGACCACAGTTATCACAGATTTCAGTTTTATTAAAGTATTATTAAAGTAAAATATACAGAAAACATTTAAAAGCAGTGAAATACATCAAAACTAATTCTCCACAGGAACTACACTGATATATGTTTTATAGAACCTCGTATATTTCTTCATCTCTCTATTGTACACATAATAAGGACAATTAAATAGTTTTATTTTTTTATAATGATATAAATATTAAATCAAGATCAATTATTAAAATGATCAAAACCCACATTTGTTGTCTTAAAAAAATGTGTGTGGAGGTCCTTTTGGACTATGTTGCCTTTAGGCAACATTGTGCGACAATGGAAAGAAATGATACAGAGTGTCACAATAAAAAACAGGATAACTGGGTAACTACACAGTTTATTGATATTTAAATACTAAAACTTATTTAAAATATTGAAAGATGGATTGATACGGTGTACTGCATGCTGACTGCTCTATGACAGAATTTACCAGAATGGGCTTGTAGCTTGTCATATTGTTAAATTGGTAATATTTCCTATATAAACAAACACTCAAAAATGATTCTAAATGAAAAATAGCTGTTTATCATTTATAATTTTTGAGTTTTTGTGCAGTGTACTGTCAAGTAGCTATATAAGCGACACTTCATTTACTTGCTCTGTCGAGTCCACTGTCGCATGTTGCTTCTGGGCAACATAACTATTTAAGAAATTTCTTATAACACAAAAAAACATAAATATATATATATATATATACCTTTAGAATCTAACAGATGTGCATCATATTTTTGGATAGATAAAAAAATGGCAAAAAAGGTAAACTGTCTGGAGCAATGCGTGTCACACATGAGCAGCTAGAAAGAGGTTTGAAACTGCCCACCATAAGACAGTGTGAGCCAGCAGAAGATTTTTTTATTGGTTTATTCAAACTCTTTCCTTTATGATCCACCTTTTCACAGACATTAAATATCTGTCATTGTAAATGAAGGGAAATGGGTTTGTTGCCCTGAGGCAACATTGAGCAATAGATATAAGATATAAGATATAACACATCTCTATTACGAATAAAATAAAATGCCCAGCACTGCTGCTGTTTTTGTTTAGATTATATCTATGTAAATATGCATTATCCCAGCATGTGCTTTGCATGGAGACTCTAGTATTTCAATTGAATTCCATCAAGAATTTGAAACCAATAACCATCCCATTCTCAACTCTAAAGGGGGCTTATTTACTTTGGCTCTGGTTCTGTCTGGTTCCTTGCTGTTACTCATCTATGGTATCTGCATGTGCATAACGTTTGCTATTAAGTTGCTACTCTTTCAGCCATGTAACTACAATAAAGCCATATAAATACAGTAAAACTAATATGAGTGCTAATGTTCTAGCCTGAAGCTGAATAATATGACTGTTCTCTTATGGGTTCTGCCTGGCTGGCTCTGTGAAAAGCCTACTGGAATGAAACACTGGGGGTTCCCAGAAGGCGCAGGATTAGCGTTCACATTATTCTGCTTTGTTTGTCCAGGTCGCCGTGACGATGACACACAAAGCATGCCAGACGTCCGCAGTGAGTTGACAAACAGATGACTTGTGTTGCAAATCTAAGAGCAGTTGTTTGCTAAGTCAAATTCTATTGACTCTTTGTAACATGCAGTCCAGTGTCTATATGGCAATAAAGACATCTTCATGATACGATATGTAGGGGAGAGCGGGACACAACCTTACACATTTTGGCTTTTGTTGAATAACTTTAAAAATATTTAAGCTGGAATAATCATATTTTTATACAAGTAACATAAACATCTCTGCTACAAACCAACACTTGAACTTTGTTTCTAGTGCCTATCGTTCATGTACAGTTCCACCCAAAATGATGGGAAGCGCAATGTTACAATTTACCCCATAGGTGGTGTTCACTGTAACAGACAGAGGGTCAGTTTAACACCTGCTAGAAAAGTCTGTTGAATTAATGCAAACAAAGTTAGTTTTAGATAATTCTGTGTTGCAAGAAACAAATATATTTTCACATCAAACTGCATTATATCATCTATATAAGACAGATCGACTGATACACACACATTAAATTATATATGAAAACTGATATGAGACTGTGTGTCAAACAATGACAGATTTATTGTTTGTCCAGTTAAGGACAACAAATAAAAACACACATCAGTAAAATATGAACATTGTTTCTGAATAACTACAGCTTTACCGACTGATAACGGCAATTTCATTAATAAACGTATTTAAAACCAAAATATAAACATCTGACACTAATAAAGTAGAAGACAATCCCTGTTTTCTGATGGTTTCTCGTTTGTATTTTAAAATCTGTGTAAACATATAAAACAAAAAGAGAAAATGTACTTTATTTGTCTTCGTTTACTAAAGGTGGCTTAGCTGTAATGCTGTGTTACAGCTAACCCCGCAGCACGGAGGCTGTACTTAAGCCTAACTAGCGCTCGCTGTTGCTTGTCACATGCTTCACAATGATGCTACATTGCAGGCAACAAGATGGTGATTACAGTAATACAAGGTTGGATTTTGTGATTTACACAAACAGCTTAGTAACCGAAAAAAACTTGTGTTGAAAAAAATGACTTACATGCCCTGAAAACACTCTTTGGCACAGATCTCTTTAAAACCCTAATGAATCTCTCTGAATTTTGGTGGGAGACCGCGGCTAGAAAATGTGGTGATGTGGCCAGAAACTCACGCTGCTTGACCTTCTTTAACAACGTAAAAAGTCTGTGTTAATTTGTGCCCTGCATTAGGTTGCTCCCCGTGCTCCCTTAGTTCTTAGGAGGTTTGCTAACAGTTTGTAACTGAAGCAATACACAGAGAAAACAAAACACATTTTTTAAAAAATGCCAAAAAACTGCACCATAAGTACATTAAATCTTGTTTTTATTCAACAAAATAAGGGACCAGAGGAAAAAAATTGAATAAAAAATGTGAATAGTGGCCAAACAGCCGATCAGACTGTTCACTACACAGTTGGCCAGTTTTAGAAAAACAGTCAATATTTGCAATGAGCTCAGGAAAATGTACACAGTTTATCACAATAAAGAATATGTGTTGCCACATTACCCACCTTTTAGATGCGTACAATGGCCATGATGACGACCATATGGATGCAACAGAAGCCCAACGCTATAAACAGGTAGAAATCAAATCTCACCTCCTATCTGTTCGCACAATATGTGTCTTATATCCTAAAATCCTACATGCTTTGTCCTCTTGAGATACGAAAAACAAAGCGTCTGCTCTCCGTCCACCCAATGGACCTGGACATGGACGAATACGGTAGCCACTCCCGGCGGCAGTCTATGCAGGCAAGAGTGCTTTAATTCATTTAAATCAAATTCACTTAAAACAGTCATTACATTCGTTTTTTAATTGCTTTACTCTCTCAGTATATCCAGGATGAGCGCGGACTGGTGCGCAATGATTTCGAATACACCCCCGACATGTACCATCACCATCAACATCATCATCGCATGAATCGCAGGAAGAGTCTTGACCGCTTCTCACGCCCAGGTTAATGAAGCTGTTTACACACTGCTAACACTGCTGTTCAAAGACTGAACCACTTAAGTGACTCATTTTTTGTTATTTTATTAAATAATAACTTCTCCCTACAGACAGGTGACAAAGGAGAGGTCAACATGAAGCATCTTATTAAGGCCTTCAAGAATCATCAGAACAGATTCAGTGTGCCTTACATTTACAGCATTTAGCAGACACTCTTATCCAGACCGACTTACTATTTACTGTACTATAGGAGTCTCACCCAAGGACTCGTATAGGTATAGTGTAGGGTGCTCATCCAGGCAGGGATTGAACCCCAGTCTACAGCATAGAAGGCAGAGGTGCTACTCAGTTCCCTCAAGCAAAGGTCCGAAACATCATAATGTCTAACTTGCATCATGATTCAGTGCCATAGACTGTTTACTGAAGTAGCCTAGTAGGTATATCAGTATCTTATACAGTCAACAACTGAATGTCAAATCAAATAAAGTGCAATTCAGTCATATTTCAACAATATTTATTGTCAGTTTTCTCTCTTTTTAGATCACGCCATGTGAAATAACTTCCCTCTGACTCACTTTCCTCTCTGACTGCTGTTTCTCGCCTCGTCCCTCCCCTGTGTGTGTGTCACTCACTGGAGTCTCAGTGCTCATCATAATACACAGATCTGATTGGCTGAGTAGCATCATGTGTGATATTTGCAACGCATGCGATTGGTCTGTGAGTCTCCCAGGCTGCTAAAGCTACCATAAAGGCTAGAAAAGTTACGCTGATTAAAACAGGACCACCCCGTTGAAATTAAATAATTATCCATTGTTTATCAGTTATAGGTCCAAGTCCGCATAGGACAGCGTCTGGGTCCGGACTCAGACCGCGGTCCGCCTATTAGTGACCTCTGGTGTAGATCCTTCTGTGCAGAAATCAGTGTAACCTGATTCATTTCCCTTTTCAAGCCCCAAAAAATGGACAAAGCTGTTTACATAGCATGAATGCTTATTTCCTAACTGTAACATTTGATTTGCTGGGCTTTACATTGCAAACTACTCCATGTGTTATACATGGCTGCTGATTCAACTTTATTATTTTATTCTAATGGCTTTCTGGTTAGCAAGCTAAATGCTACACAGCTAGCAACAAAAACAAGAATACACCATAATTCCAAAGCAAAGTTTAAAGCCGACAAAGCAGCTATTCACAAAATGTATGTAGTTATGTTAAAAAAATGCATGGTTAACCGATTCACACGCTGAAGCTAACCTAGCCGAGGGTCAATGGGTTTCAGTTAAATAATCCACTGTTCTCTATCCCCTCCTCCCCTGCACTGCGAGTGGCCACTTCTAAAACGTAGGTGTGACGCTCTTCCGAGTGGTAGGGGTTGCATGACTTATTGACTAATCGCTGATGACGTCATGAACAAAATTACAGGAGAAGGGAAAGCTTTGTAAAAAGCGACTTTAAAAATGCTGAATCCATGACGAAGCCAAATTCCACAGGTCAGTAGAGCGTGACATGCCCTTTCCAATAAGCCCAGAATTGCATAGCTAGCCTTCAGTGATCTGAATTTCTATGCATCTTGACTTGTTTTAAGTCATTTTATCCAGCTATAGTGTTTTATTCTGTTGGCAGATTCTATTACTTGTTTTATAACATAATGCAGATCATTTTGCTTGTTTCAAGGAAGAATGCTTGAAACAAGTGAACTTATCTGCCAGTTAAATAAAACACTTTCATATGATAAAATGTAAAACAAGTAAAAAAAAGTCTAGAAATAAGTTAAATAATCGTATATTATTCTTACACCATTCTCATAATGAGAAATATTAGCTATATTTTGATGTTTTCACTTGCTTTCATTTCTTATTGAAGCACTCGCTGGGTGCACAGTCCTTGTAACTGAAGCTCCTGCCATTCCACAATAATGAACCTTCTTTTGAAGTTAGCTAGATCTTTTCCTCTCGCCATTCAATGCCTAGGTCAACTGGGCCTGCTGAGCATTTTTATTCATGTCACAGACCAAAGTATACACTTAAAAGGATGGTCCTTCAGGGGTTTTTAGTAAAGGCAATGTTGTATATGGTTTAGTATAGAGCTGTTTTGGGGTTCTGATGTCAAGCTTGTAACAATAGAAGAACGCTTCTGTGACATATAGAACCATATCGCTGCTGTCGGAACAAAACCTTGTATCTCCATTTTTGAATTGATTTTGGTAACATTTTACTGTAGGGTGCTGTCATAAGGCTTTATGACACCTACATAAGCTTGTCATGACAACTGACATAACCCTACATAAATGTTTATTAGTGCTTATTCCAATAGGCGTCATTTGCTATAAAGGTTACATTTGCCAGTTTTGATCAAAATTTGCTAAAGTAGTCTTTATGACAGATGACACCTATTGAAATAAGCATACTGGTTAGGGTTATGTCAGTTGTCATGACAAGCTTATGTAAATGTCATGTAGCCTTATAAACAGCACCCTGCAGTAAAGTGTTACCTTGATTTTTTTTAGTTTTTGACATAATTTGAAAATGCCTGTTGCTCTTTACATTGGATGTAAATTTCATGATGAACTGACCAAAAGAAACGGCCCAAAATGACTTGAAAAAAGGTCTGGTTCCATTGACTTACATTAAAAGTAAAGTAAGTTTTTTCCTTCTCCTGTAAAGTTACCATTTTGGAGATACAAGGTTTTCTTCCGACAACAGTGATATACAACACATTCTCCATCAGTCTGAAGAAGCATTTCACCATGGAAAGAACTATTTCATCATGCAATAGCTCTATATAGAACTCATAATTCTAAATAGAACCTAAAGAACCCTTGAAGAACCATCTTTTTAAGTGTGTAGGATGTTAGGTGCCTAATTGCATCTTGCAGTACACCCATCTAGAGGGCACTTGTTATGTTCTACCCTCATTCATTCAGGTTTTCCCTTTAATTTATCACCCGTCTATCTATAATAGATGCTGAGATCATTCTTTTCTCTTCTCGTTTAGATGATGGCCTTTACTCAGAGCACAGGATGGTGCGTGCTCGCTCTCTGTCGAAGATCAACTCCACCTTGCCTCAGCGCTCTCACTACCTGGACACCTCTGAGGAGGAGGACGGGTATCGCTTCCCCGTCTATCAGCTCCCCTCACGCCGCCGCAGCCGTGCCTCATCCCAGGAGAACATCCACCAGAATGCTCCTCCGGTATGCTTCCAGGGAAAATAGCCACTGGCATGCGTGAAAAAGCAATTGCATTCATGAATCAGTGTACCAGGGCATGAATGTCGATGTGGAACTTTCTCTGAACACTGTAGAGGGTTTCAAGCCAAGGCCCAGCGATGGCGTGCATGTTTTAATTTTAACAGGGCTCGATGGGTTAAGTGTGAAATATTTGCTGAATCTGAAGCTAATTGGGTTTCCGCAGTAACAAGAGTCATTTTGTTTGTCACTACTCTGTGTCCCTCTCTCTCTCTCTCTCTCTCTCTCTCTCTGCTTGAATGCAGATTAATGAGCTAAACAAGAGAATGTCTGCCATTGAGAGTCTCCTGAATCGTCTGGAGGAGAAGATGACCATACCTCATGATCAGGTAAAGTCATTCAACAAGGCATATATACTTCTTGAAATTCAGGCAGTTTGACTGGAGTTGAACTCTGATCTACCTCATCATTTTGGGGTAGGAACCAAATAATTAAAGTGGGAGTCATTTGCTGCAAGCACTTATCATAAAAACCACAGACCTCTCAGAAAGATGCTCGGTTGAAGTCACAAGTTAAACCAGTGTTCTGACAAATTGTCCTGCCTTGTCGGAATGTCCTGCCGCAGTGCACAGGTAGGTCCCTACATAAAACTATATGTAGGAGAATTTGACAGAAAATGCTGCCAGTATTGAAACTACAGGCAGGATATTTTAATAGCCTGAATCACTTAATCAAGGGTAAGTAGTGTTATTAAGCTAAGTGTGTATAATATGCTTAAATTAAGGCAGAATTAACGTTAAAAAACATTAAAATGTTAGAAATAATAAGTTGCTACACTATACCAATGAGTTACGCATGTTTGGTGGGACTGATTGATGGTTAAGACAAAAGCCCAATCCAATTTCTTCTTTTTACCCCTACGCCTTGTTTTCGAGTGTCACCCTAACCCCTTGGAACTGAGTTACAGGGTAGTGGTTGAAATTTTGCACTACGAAATGGGATCCTCAAATAAAAAAAAAAACATTACTTCATTAACAGCCTAAGTGTTAGAACACCTGGCAGTATACTTTAAATTAAAACAGTGCTTTCAAGCAAAACAGTGACTTTTTGGCCGAAACAGCAAGTTGGTCTGAGTCTGTATGATACAGCGTGTGCTGTCTGCTAAACAGAACTTCAAATCGCCACATTATTTGCTTTAAGGCCTCCATATCTTTACCTGGATCACTGCACGGTGGAGGGCGGCACGGTGGCACAGTGGGTAGCGCTGTCGCCTCACAGCAAGAATGGTGTGTGTTTGATTCCCGGCCGGGCGACCAGGGTCGTTTCTGTGTGGAGTTTGCCTGTTCTCCCCATGTCTGCGTGGGTTTCCTCTGGGTACTCTGGTTTCCTCCCACAGTCCAAAAACATGCAGTCAGGCTGATTGGATGTGCTAAACTGCCCCTAGGTGTGAATGTGTCTGTCTGTCTGCCCTGCCCTGCGATGGACTGGCGGCCTGTCCAAGGTGTATCCTGCCTTCCGCCCAATGACAGCTGGGATAGGCTCCAGCACCCCACCGCGACCCAGAAGGATAAGCGGTTTAGATGATGTATGGATGGACATACTGCACGGTGGATGTGTGGAATGTCAGAACGGCGTGAACCGAGTTCTTTTTAAGTACGCTTACGCCAGCGTGTTCAGCAGTAGTTCAATTTTGTTTAGTTCTTTAGTCATTTGAAGCTTTAGATTCACTCCACACAGCTCCAATACAACATTGTAACACATCCAGAAAGATATCCTTGAGCAATTTGGAGCTACAGATACTAACTGACTCCAATTGACCTGTTCATGCTTTGTCCACTGATGGGTTCTGCAAGATTGGACAAAATAATCAAAATATGTACATTTCCATTTAAAAGATCACTTTTAAATGTGTAAAAAGATTGTCTGACATATTCAACTGGGATATAAGATTACAACCACTATTTGTTTCTCTCCATTGTTGTCACCGATTAGCTTGACTTGTTGATATACACCAATGAGCCAAAACATCACGACCACCATCCTAATATGCTGTTGTTCCTCCACTTGCTGCCAAAACAGCTCCGACCTGCTGAGGCATGAACTCTACAAGACCTCTGAAGGTGCCGTGTGGTCTCTGGCATTAGCAGTAGATCTTTTAAGTCCTGTAAGTTTTGAGGTGGAGCCGTCGCAGATCAGACTTCTTGTTCCAGCACGTCCCACAGATGCTTGATTGGATTGACATCTGAGGAATTTGGAGGCCAGGGCAACAGCTTGAACTGTTTGTCATGTTCCTCAAACCATGAGCAATGAGTGCAGCGTGGCAGGGTGAATACCATTACCATGAAGGAGTGTAGATAGTCTGCAGTGTTATTTAAGTAGGAGGCACATGTCAAATTGACAGACACATAAACGTCTGGACCCAGAGTTTTCCAGCTGAACATTGTCCAGAGCATCACTGTCCCTCCATCAGCTTGTCTTCTATCCACAGTGTATGAATCACTTCCCCAGGTAAATGGTTCACACATACCTGGTTGCCACGTGATGTAAACTAAACAATGTGACTTGTTGGACCAGGCGACCTTCGTCCATTGCTCCAAACTGTTTGTTGTGACACACAGTCATCATTAAAAAATTCTGTGACTTGTGCCACAGTAGCTCAGGCAATATACACCGGTCAGGCATAACATTATGACCACCTCCTTGTTTCTACGCTCATTGTCCATTTTATCAGCTCCACTTACTGTATAGGTGCACTTTGTAGTTCTACAGTTACAGACTGTAGTCCATCTGTTTCTCTGCATACTTTGTTACCCTGTTCTTTAGTGGTCAGGACCCCCAGGGACCCTCACAGAGCAGGTACTATTTGGGTGGTGGATCATTTTCAGCACTGCAGCACTGGTGGTGGTGGTGTGTTAGTGTGTGTTGCGCTGGTCTGAGTGGATCAGCAGTGCTGCTGGAGTTTTTAAACACTGTGTCCACTCACTGTCCACTCTATTAGACACTCCTACCTTGTCAGTCCACCTTTTAGATATAAAGTCAGAGATGATAGCTCATCTGCTGCTGCACAGTTTGTGTTGGTCATCCTCTAGTCCTTCACAGGACGCTGCCCACAGGACGCTGTTGGCTGGATAGGTTTGGTTGGTGGACTATTCTCAGTCCAGCAGTGACACTGAGGTGTTTAAAAACTCCAGCAGCACTGCTGTGTCTGATCCACTCAGACCAGCGTAACACACACTAACACACCACCACCACATCAGTGTTACTGCAGTGCTGAGAATGATCCACCACCCAAATAGTACCTGCTCTGTGAGGGTCCATGGGGGTCCTGACCACTGAAGAACAGGGTAAAAGGGGGCTAACAAAGTATGCAGAGAAACAGATGGACTACAGTCTGTAACTGTAGAACTACAAAGTGCACCTATATAGTAAGTGGAGCTGATAAAATGGACAATGAGTGTAGAAACAAGGAGGTGGTCATAATGTTGTGCCTGATTGATGTAGTCTTTGTTGCCCTTGCACAATGATGAGCCTTGGGCACCCAACACCCTGTTGCTGGTTCATGGTTTGTCCCTCCTCGGGCCACTGTCATTAGATACTGACCAGTATTGACCGTGAGCACCCCACATGCCTTGCCATCTCGGAGATGCTCCGACACAGTCGTCTGGCCATAACGATCTGGCTGTGGTGAAAGTCGCTCAGGTCTTCACACCAGTAAAAACACTGTTATTATATGACAATAAATACAAATGAATATTAATATAGTAAAATGTAACAAAACATCTATTGTTTTTAAATACAGTCAGAAGAACACAGGTTTGCTTTCTGGCTTCGTGCTGACTCCAGCCACTGTATGGATTTGTGAAAATCCAACAGAAGCACTTCTGATTTAATTTAAGGGATTGATTAGCTAAAGCAGGTGTTGAATGGTAACTGTAAAAAGTGGCAGACATACAATCACACTGTATTATTTGTTCATTTATTGTTGTTTCTTTCCATTTTTTTTTACAAATACATGCTTCCTGCCCAGATGCCCAAGACTTTTGCACAGTACTGTATGGCAAGTACAACAGGGAAAAAGTTGACAGCAAGTCCTTTAGAGTAATCAGGGTTGAGGAGCTAGTGGTGTAGGCTATGTTAACTTAGCTATTTAGCAATATTGAAACACCTGATGCTGGTTATTCTTCTGCTTAACCTATCAATCGTGTGTTTATCTCCATACTCCCCCCCCCACACACACACACAGCCAGCCCAGCCCTCCGCAAGCCAGCTGGAGGAGGAGAAGCTGAAGAAGAAGTTGGATGAGCTGATGAGTGACAAGGCTCTGTCTTCTGATGAGGACGAGCCCAAGAAGCTATCCCAGTACAAGGGCTCTGGTGTGAGAGGTGGTCTCTACGGTGAACAGGGCCCACCGGCTCCTCTGGCACAGGAAGCAGAACTGAGCTCTTCCAGTGATGAGATGCCCACCGAAGCACAAAAGGTAAGAACTCCTCACTATACAGTCATTACAATATTTTGAACATCCCTGGTCAATTTTCTGGTCAAGTGAAAATAAGTTAACACATCCTCTGCGGAAGAAACTTAAAAGTGGCATTTTTCTAGAGGTCTAATGTCAGTATTGTTGTTTAAAAGTAATTATGTTGATATATGACACATTTTGTTATGTAAATAATTTAGAGATGTCAAACAATAAAAATAATTAATTGTGATTAATTACATTATTATTTTAATCATCATTTATTTAGCCTAAATTGGGACCCCACACAAATAATTACCCACTTAAAAAGCAGTGAATATTGTTATAGTTACTTTAGTGGATGATATGCATCCATATTACTTTCAATAATTCAATAACATTATTTTCATCATGTGAATGCAGGATTCAAATCAATTGATTTCCATAGAGCGAATGCCATTTCTGATTTTCATCGCCGACGTCCAGTGAGAGCAATAGTCACTGCATGTTCTATCATACATATTTAAATTACATATGATATGTATCATATATACAGCAAATGATTCCAACACCACAGTGATTGTAGCTTCTTACTCATGTTCATCCAGCTTGTGGATTCTTGTTACAGCAGAGGTTCTTAAAGGAACTGCTGCTTTCCACTTTGCTGCTGCTATTGTCAGTTTGCTGCTTGTTGATTTATCCATAGGTCTCTCGCTATCACTGTCCAGCGTAGTCTGACGCAAGTGTCCAGCTAAAAAGTGATGTAAAAAGCTTTATTTGAATGAGAGGGCTACAATCATGCTTTCTATCATAGCAACACACCATGTGCGAGCAGCTGGGCTTCAGCCTCACTTTACATTCTGCACCTAAATATTCGAGTCAGCTTTTCTTCCTTTTTCTGTTTGTTTCTATGTGAAGAAATAGCAAAAAAGATGTTTTTTCTTTTCCGCATACCAAGATTGCATGCAATAAAAGTTTTTATCTAGTTCAAATAAATATGAAATATAAAATATCTCCTTTTCTACTTAGGAACACAAATAAGGTTTTGATTGAAGGTCTAGAATCTGCACTGAATTTCCCAGCTTGTTTCAAAAAGCTATGAATGAGAAATAATTCATCTAAAAGTACAACCTTCTTTTGTTATCGCCAGTACTAACTCCAGCTAAACAGGCTTAGCGGTTTTGTGGTTTTCATCATGATGTTGTTGGATATGTTTAACCTTTTATGCTGCAAGTACTTTTTATTATTTATTGGTGTTCAGCTTTTAATGCACTGTTACCAGCCTACCTCTTCATTATGAGAGCTGTGAGAGCAGTGAGTGCCAGACCCTTTAAAGCTATATCAGTAGCAGTAATTAACGGGTCTTCCTTTCCAAAACTGGCAGCTCATGTACTGTAACTAAAGCATGAAGAAGACTAAGGCACCCCAATATAGCCTTGCTATGTTAGTAAGCCTCCTCTCCTCTCAGCTAATTGCTGTTCCCTTTACATGGCTTTCAGAGATCCACTGCGGCGGCGCTTTGCGACATCACAACTGAGGTTCTAAGAACCCTTAATGCCACTGAAAGCGCTATGACCGAGTTGGCCCCCTCAAACCCTAATGACAGACCTCAGTTAGCGGGCACAGATGTAAAGAAAGCTGATGATGCGTACAGGGAGCTTGAGGAAAATGTAAGATCGCAGATACTTTTAATATTTAACACATACATAAGTCTTAGTGTAATATATCCATAAACTAGAGGGAGTAAAATTGGATAAAATTGCTAAGGAGATCAAAGGAATATGCATCATTTTGTACCTTTTACAGAATAGCTGATCAGCCTCTTCTCATGACGCTATCCGCTCTCTTGCAGGTGTATCTGACAGCGGGGAAGTCCTTTGAAATGGAGCGGAGGTTAAGGAAGATCGAACAAAACGCTAAGAACAATTACATTGGCCCAGTAACCGACTCTGAACTGTCTGAACTGGAGGACCAGCTTGCAGTAGCCGCTGCAAAGGTCCAGAGCACGGAGAGTGAGGTAAGAGCCATTCTGACTGAAATCAGTAATAAAAGACTAAATCTAAAAACTTTGCTGTACTTTTACGGTAATGTACAATACAATTCACAATAACATACTGTTTTCCTAAATTACGGTATGTTATTGTATTTTCCTATTAATTCTCAGAGCTGATGCTAAAATTCTCTGAAAATTAGGACCATGTTTCAAATTTTACAACATTAGCGCAAAACATGCCAGATTTTATGAGAAGAAGATTTCAAATACAGTCTATGTAAACATGAGATATAATAGAAAAGTGAGATACTGACAATGATTAGATTGGCTTTGATGGTCTATATATAGTCAAATGCAGAAGTTTGAACAGTCAAAATACATGTTTTGTTAATTCAAGTTAAAATAACACAGCCTCTACAGAGAAAGAACTTAAATATGGTAATCTTCTGCTTATTGTAGTGCACAATTTCTAGTTATGTGCTGAGTTTAACATAGTGGAAAAAATTGACATAAAAAATAAAATTATTCCATATTTTTTGTTATCGCTGTATCTTATGTTTTATTGTATTCCAGTGTCCAGTGTCCAAGTTAAATTCAGCAAATGAACTCTAACTGCATTGAAATGTGCAGATATGTGTTTTCTATAAACAATATGTTCACTTATTTCCAATGCAAAAATAAACAAAACGTGTAATTTGACCAGGGCTGCATAAACCTTCGCATACAACTGTATAAAAGGTGGAGTCAGTGAATCAGGGGGCAGTGCTCTAGATCCAGTGTAGCCCCCGATGAATTTGGGTCAGCATTGCCTGAGCTCTCTGGGTAACAGATCCTTATGTGAGTGCACCAGTTGCCTCATAGTAGCCAGACAGCTAGAGTTGGGCAGTAAAGTACTGGAAACTGAACTGACCTTCACAGCAATTCTAGTTCTAGTTTAGTGTAGTTGTACACTTTCTGTACTCTTCAGCTTCAGAAACATTTCTGTCAGAAATAATTACTGTAGATATACAGGTACATAACGTCACTGTCGGAACAAAACAACATACCTTCAAAATAGTAACTTTCCATATCTGTGAATTTAATAGAACTCGACTTTTGTCCTAGTAATTTTGGAGGATTTCTATTGGTCTATTCATCATGGAAATTTAGCATGTCGTCATTTTAAGAAAAAAGTACAAAAATACTAAAATGGAGATGTGAGGTTTTATTCCGACAGCAGTTTCTGTGATATTAAGGCCGTAGAAAAACAGTAAACAACTTATGGTACAACACAGTATATTTACAGTACTATTCTGCCAATAACGGTATACACTGTATATTTACAGTACATACTGAGCATTATATGGAGTCTTATGAATGTACATAGTTGGTTTCTTGTCAGTGGTCAGTGATTACTCTTTATCTATCTTATTTTACTAAAGCCAAGTACATTTTTTCTTCCCAGGTGTCGGATATTGAGAGTAAGATTGCTGCTCTCAGTGCGTCGGGACTGTCAATAGATAAGGCCAAGAAAAAGGTGAGCTGATGTTCCCTTAATATAACAGTCATAACCAAACTGATCATTTCATTTCAATTAACATTTCCATAAAGTATTTAGAATAAGAATTAACCCCTTAAGCTGAAGGCCTGTTTTTCAGTAACTACTATAATTTATTCAGCAATTACTATTAAACTAATAAGCTATGAGAGTGAGGAACTGAAGTGTGGGCTTATGTTCCGGCCTTAACGGGTTACATGTCATACGCCAGGGAGCTGTTATGTACGCCTGTCACAATCATGAATTTATAAAGGTGCAGTGTGTAGGATTTAGGGGGATCTATCAGCAGAAATGTAATATAGTACACAAAAGCATATTTTCATTGGTGTATAATCACCTGTAACTATGAACTGTGTTTCTGTTAGCTTAGAATGAGCCCTTCATATCTGCATAGCGAGCAGGTCCTCTTCCATGTTTCTACAGTAGCCCAAAGTGGACAAACCAATCACTGGCTTTGGAGAGTGCCTTTCATGTTTTTTTACAATGAGGTGGCAGCTGAAATTTGGTGGTGCTACAGCACCGGTTGGACAACGAAGAAAGATGAAGAATCAGTAGTTGCTGCTGGTGCTGGCTTACTATTTTGTGTTGTGAGAAGTTTGAGAATCCAAATTTCGACAAATGGAGGATCACATTGATTATTTAGCACTAGAAAAAGCAAACGAGAGTAAATCGTCATCTTCAAGGAAACGAAAACATGAAGAAGCAGAACGAAATCATGACAGGCAACAGCAGAAAACCTGACAGATACTGTAGGTTGTACTACACGCTTAGAAAGGGAGGGGTGAGGGAGGGTATTCACTTCAACTAGATACCACTAAATTTTATACACTGCACCTTTAACTGACGATTAATTGCCATATAATTGCGATTAGCAATTTCACCATCTTGTTTTTTTGTTCATTGTAAAATCAGATTAATCTGATTAGCTGTCTTGCTTTCTAGCTGTCAACTCTTAGTAGCTTCCAACTGACCACAAACACAGTACAAGCTAAATAAACAAACATTACTCACTGCTGCCCTCTAAAGGTTTTACAGCACCAGTCAGAAGTTGTTTTCATAATTCTGGTCAGATCAAATACTTGTGACAGGCCTAGTTTGTTTGGCTGGTGAAGACTTATTATTATTTTTATTTTTTGATGAAGCAATTTTTGTGGAATCATATTTCTTCTTTAAACATTTTTGATCAATTCTTTTCTAAAATGTGTTTTTTTTTGGTTTGCAGGCATCAAGCATACAACAAAGAAGAAAATTTTCCCAAGACATCGCCACAAACCGAGCGCATTTCTGAATGTCAGAAGGATAACATTTAAAAAACTATGCTATATTGTTTTTTAGCTAAAGCCATTACTGATGAGTCTTACTTGCCCCTCTGCTTTAGTCTCTACTGTAATCCAGTGAGACGTTCATGATTTTTGATCCATGCATTTCCTGCAATGTACGGGAACATCTGTAAAATATGTTGTTCTACTTTTTACTGATCTTCTAATTCCCTGTCCAGCAGTCTGTCCATTTTCAGAAGGTAGATTAATGCATGCCTCATTTGGAATGAAAATATGATTTACTGTAAACAGATCTCCCTCAGATGGTCCTTCATCTGTCATTGCTTCGAGCTGATGCTGCCAACTTCTTGTTGAAAGCTCTGGCCTACATAAACACGCTGTGTATGCTGTATAAATGACACCGGGGGGTATTTCACAAAGCAGCATTTCTCAGTAAACTGCCTAATTTAAGCCAAAAGTGAGAATTGCCAAAGTGAATATTGCCCAATTGTCCTTCACCAAATACGCCAGACTTTTGGCTTAAGTTATCTGGGTAACTTAGAGACTCTGCTTAGTGAAATAACCCACAGATTCACAGATTGATGAATATATAGATAGATAGATAGATAGATAGATAGATAGATATTATTCACTCCACTAAAGCTACTCAACTTCATGCTACATGGCTGAAAATAGAAGTACATGTGATGTATTCCAAATGTATGCTGTTCAGCTGTGCCTTTGAAATATAGTCATTAAATTATTTGTTTGTCCTCTCCTTCTGCGCCCAACACATGCCTTCTACAGGGTATCAGTCTCAGTGAGGAGAAGTCTAAGTAAGGGTGCCCCCTTGTGGACATCTGTAGAATTCGATCTCAGCGCATTTAAATCACTGCACAGGATAACTGATTGACCTATTCTTAACGTCATAATAGTCATGAAACCTGAGAGGGATTATGAATATTTAGCAATTACCAGGTGTGATATTAAAAGAGTTTATTTATCTGGCCTCCAATGATTGTTGATCAAGCCGAATTTTCGAGTGGTGCTCAGAGGCGAGGCATTATACGCTAACGCAGATACAGTGAAGGTAGTTCAGCATGCATGCGTTCATTTAGCGTAATAATACAGTTATAATAGCTACTGTACAACAGGACACATAGTAACCTTACTCAATTGCAGGAAATCACAGTGCCCGGCATGCACCTCTCCACCATAAATGGATTAAAAAGAGTTTTAGACCAAAACTTTATCTTAAGACTTCTGTAAAACAATGTCTCGAGCATCGAGCAGGTATTCATAACCATTTAATTTCATATTTTTTATTACAATGTAGTTTTTAGAGGCATTAAACTCTTTGGATGCCTGGTTACTATCACCACTGTGAGCAATTCTGATCCAGTAAGATTCTCTAGCACACATTTCACATCTAACCACTTAAGTACTTTGTCACGTCGTAATGACTAAATTATGAACGCTGTGATTTCATTTTAGTGTAGGTGCTGTTTAAATTGTTGTAGTTACGCAGCGAAGACTGAAGAGGGAGCCAGTGCACCAGGCTTTCCTGTGTTCACTGCTCTAACCGAGGAACTGGTGTGGGTGAGCATCCAATATGGCAGAGAAAAAGGAGATTAAAAAGCAATAAATGCTGAATTCTACAAGGTAAACTCTAGTTTATTGGTAGGTGTTGGGTAGATAGACAGATAGACAGACAGACAGACAGATGGATAGATATGTGGACACCCAACAATATTCAATAAGCATTAGTGAAGTCAGGCTCTGATGTTGGGCAGTAAGGCCTTAAGGCCTGGCTTACAATCAGCATTCCAACTTATCAGAAAGGTGCTGGATGGGGTTGAGGTCAAGGCTCTTACCAAACCATTTCTGTATGGACCTCACCCCACTACTGAAGAAAGGGTCTTCCCCAAAGTGTTGCCACAAAGTTGGAAGCACCAAATCCTCCAGAAAGAGACTGTTTGATGTAGGATTAAGATTTTCTTTCACTGGAACTAAGGCGCCCAACCCAAACCCTGAAAACTGGCACTATGCATTTTGGTAGGTAGATTCAGCACTTCAGAGCACACATATCCGGTCGCAGTATACTTTACACCACTCTAGCCAACACTTGGCATTGTGCATAGTGATCTTAGAAGTGATCTCACGTGTGCTGCTGCTCAGCCACAGAAATAGCCGAACCCGCTAATTAGAAAGGTTGGCCGTATACTTTTGGCCATGTAGTGTATGTACATATATAGACAGACAGATGGATTCTACTAACCATGTAACTGCGATTTATTGTTCTACAATTACAGATTGTAGTCCATCTGCATCATTTGTTAGCCAGCCATTCACCAATGACCAGGTCCCCCACAGGACCACCCCTATAAGCACATATTATTTGGTAGGCCATTTTTAGCACAGCAGTAACACTGACAGGACAGTGTATCACAAACCGCAGTGTTGCTGACATTTTTAAACAACTCAGTGTCACTGCTGGACTGAGAATAGTCCACCAACCAAAAACATCCAGCCAACAGCGTCCTGCGGCCAGAAACTAACCACTAATGAAGGACTAGAAGATGACCAACACAAACTGGGTAGCAACAGATGAGCAATCATCTTTAACTTTACCAACAAAGTAGGTATGTCTAACAGAGTGGTCAGTGAGTGGACACAGTGTTCAAAAACACACGCAGTGCAACACATACTACCAAAACAGTGTCACTGCAGTGCTGAGAATGTTCCACCACCTGCTCAGTGATGGTCATGTGAGGGTCCTGACCACTGATGAATGTGGTAAAGAAAGACTAACAAATACAGGGAAACAGACAGACTACAAATTGAAAGTGTAGAACCATCTAAGTGGACCTGATACAATGGACACTGAGTGCAGATTCAGTAAGTGTAGATAGTCAGTCTGGTCAGATAGACAGATAGGCAGACAGACAGACAGGCACGCAGAGAAGCAGATAGATGTAAGTGAAACAGTCTGAATGAGATTCATTGACCTTGCTGAAGTGCTCTCTACCTCTGGCTCGTTGATGAGATCAGAGGCAGAGCGAGCTATTAAAAGGCAGAGGAGAGAGAGAGAGAGAGAGAGAGAGAGAGACTGACTGACTGACTGACTGACTCCCGGAGCCCCGCCCCCTCTCCAGCCGCATCCACACAGCAGCGCTGCTGAGAGGCCATTGGGCTGCAGCCCGGAACGCGTCCTCAGCTCGAGCTCCTCATCCGGCCTGCGCGGTGCCCCACAGGCAAAACACAACTTTCCCACAGGCGCGTCCGCCGCTCAGCCGTCCTGCCTCCCCACGACACCGAGCCAGACGTCCAGCCAGAGAGGGCGTTTGAAAGGATGAGCCGTAGCGTTTACCGGAATATCCACAGACTGTCATTATGTTTCCAGCGTGATGTGTGGAGACACCGAGGGGCTTTTTAAGTGAGACGCTGCTATGTGGCATCGAAGGGACGCTCCAGAAAACTGCCCCCCCCTCTTCTCGCAGCGGACTAGCATATACCTGGACTCTTCTGAATAGCTCCACCCATTTTTAACGTACATTTTTGTGCTACTTTGCTGGACTGTAAACTGCCCAGGCTTTGTTTTTGTAGCAGACTGGGAAGCTGTAGCTAATATTAAAATGGGCACTCAGGTCACGGGGAGGAAGAGGATTCCCAACAGGGAGAAACTGACGGCGGAGGATGATGCTCTGAGTCAAATAGCCCGAGAGGTAAGTCGGTGGGATTAGGAGTGATGGAAATAGTAAGTCTGTGTAGCCTGGTGAGCCGAGCCGTGATGTTCAGCAGCGTCACACTGCGCCAAAACCCTTGTAAGCAGCCGGCGCTACGAGGCTGAAGTTGGCTTTGCAATTCGAATTTTCCCGTTCCACCTTAAATGGAGCAGCAGCTACGCTCTGGCGCCCGAGGAAGGAATGTAACCGCCGCTCTATTTAAGGTGGAACGGGAAAATTCGTGGTGGCGCTTTGGGCTGGTTTGATGCCTGTCGGCGTTTCAGAGGACAGAGTGGAGTTTGAATGGCATGAAAGACTGACCCGATTTTAATAGATGACGCTGCTGCTGTGCAGCCTTCCTTGCTGGCTCATAATGAGGAGGCTATAGTGGGTTGTGGGAACCTTCGCCTGCCAAACGACAAAGACTCATTATCATTCCCAACGTGAATCAAGGGACATTGTTATTTAGCGGTGACCTACATGTGTGGCCACGTCGAAACCGGGCCGGTTCTATAGGCTCCAATGACTGCACCGCTAAACGGTCATGTGCGCAGACTGTCAGAAGGTCTCACAGAGGTACCTGCAAAGCTCAGTGACGCGTTTTGGGGAGCAGGAGAACGAAAAGCTCCCCAGACTGCTGACGTCAGATCCTCCACATCACACCCAGTCAACGACTTCAGCAGCCCAGCTATTGAGCGCAGTGGCTGGTTCGCGTTAGCAGTGATGACTTGCATTGGCAATTAACGTTAGAGCTGGGCAATATGACCGTATTATCGCGATTAATTATATCACCGTATGCTTTCCTGAGCATATCGTGGATATCATCAGTACTTAGAAAACACTTACTACCTGCATGTCTGATTAAAATTAGAGCACAGGTATTCCTGTTTATTCAGATTTAGTGCAGCACAGTGTTGAATACTAGTAACTAGATTCACAGTTTTTGATTGTATTTTTAATATGTGGCATTACTTTGTCTCTTCTGACATTTGTGTATTAATTAAAACGTCCTGAAATATTGTGATATTCCATTTCACCGTATCAGCCACCTCTGTGGGCAGTGTTGACATCCTCTGCTGACCTGCAGAGAAACCTTTATGTGTCCATGGCTTCTTCTCCTAAAAGCATGGCTGCACCCCCACCACAGACAGCCCGGATAGCAAGTATATATCGGTCCGCTGGGTTGATAAGGTCAGCACCCCACTGACTGTTTTTGCCACTGCTGGTCCCCCCTCGGACCACCCAGATTATTGCGCTGCATACAAGGATTTACTAGTTTTCAATCCCCCCCAAACAGATTTTAAATGCACAGAGCCTTTTATTTTGGAAAATAAACATAGACAAATATTACAAATAACTGAAAGAAAAAAATAATGACTAATGCCTGATATGAAATGATTTTATAGAATATGTTGTTGCTGACTCTGTGCTGGATTGAAATTATTTACTGAACTAATATACAAAGTATAATTTAAGAAGGAAAAATCAGTAGATTGGACTGTGAGTGGGAAATGGAATTTTGTCCATTACTCAGCTAACCGGTGGGTCGTGCAGAAAATGCTGAGCAAAACACCAGTGGACCACCAGCTTTGCCATCAGTGGGCCATCGGTGGTCCACTGTCCTCTTGCTGTCAGGGAGTTTGTGCTGTTTAAAATAAGCACAAGTGAAATAATTAATCACAAATGTTCATAATATGAGTGCAATGCTATTTCAAATGATTGGCTATCGATGTCGTTTTAAAGCCTGGGACACTGTTTTTGTTCCGTCTAGCTTGCTTTAGCAACAGGCTAATGGGGCCTTCTCAAACCATCTTCATATCTGAGTGTCAGTCATGCAGATAAACAGTATTCATGTATTTTTCTTTTGTCTTGTACCCTAATTCTCCTTACTGCAACGTCTCCACATATCTGCTGCTCATTAGCTATGGTTTTATTTTTTTATTTTTTTTTGCTTTTTCTGCTTAGGAAAAAAGGTTTTCACCACTTTTAACGGTGACACTTTGTGGTCCTTTTAGATAAAACAAACACTCAACAGACTCTCAGTAACATGTCAAAAACATATGAGGGTTAGGACTAGGTTTTGGGTTGAGGTTAAGGTTAGGATTAGGATTAGGTTTTGAGTTGAGGTTAAGGTTAGGGTTAGGATTAGGGCCAGGGTGAGGGTTAGAATTAGGTTTTGGGTTGAGGTTAAGGTTAGGACTAGGTTTTGGGCTGAGGTTAAAGTTAGGATTAGGGCCAGGTTGAGGGTTAGAATTAGGTTTTGGGTTGAGGTTAAGGTTAGGATTAGGTTTAGGGCCAGGGTGAGGGTTAGGACTAGGTTTTGGGTTGAGGTTAAAGTTAGGATTAGGGCCAGGTTGAGGGTTAGAATTAGGTTTTGGGTTGAGGTTAAGGTTAGGATTAGGATTAGGTTTTGGGTTGAGGTTAAGGTTAGGCTTAGGTTTAGGGCCAGGGTGAGGGTTAGGACTAGGTTTTGGGTTGAGGTTAAGGTTAGGATTAGGGCCAGGTTGAGGGTTAGAATTAGGTTTTGGGTTGAGGTTAAGGTTAGGATTAGGATTAGGTTTTGGGTTGAGGTTAAAGTTAGGATTAGGGCCAGGGTGAGTGTTAGAATTAGGTTTTGGGTTGATGTTAAGGTTAGGATTAGAATTAGGGCCAGGGTGAGGGTTAGGTTTTGGGTGAGGTTGGTAAGGTTAGGCTTTGCGTAATGGAAGTAATGTAATAACAGTACATCTACTTAATGTAAGTAGTTGATTATTTTCTGAAAATTAGCTTTACATTTATATGAAAGTCACTGTTTGAAACAAGCTGTGATTTATAGCCTTTCAGTTTAGCACTCCATAAGCTAATATGTTAGCCCCAAGCTAATGCACTAACCAAAAGTTTGATTTCTTAATTTGAAAATGAAAATTTTGCTAAAATTTAATGTAATAGTTACTAAAATTAAGATTTAAAGTCAATTAAACCATTCAAGTTTATTTTGTATTATTAAACCTTTTAGATTTTCATCGTTTTTATTATTCATCATTGTTCGTGTGTCCAAAGTGAGCATTAAGTTTTAGTCATTGTATTTTTTTCGACTTGGGCTGCAGTGTTTGTCTTGTTCGTGAGAATAACCCTGATATGGCCAGCTATGCCCCGACGCTCCCTGACCTCTAAGGTCTGTTAGCCACATCTGGAAAGCGTTTCCTTAGTGCTGAATCTGCACATGAATTTCTCTCGTTAAACTCTGCAGTTGCGCAACTCATGCTTAAGTTCTCCCCTAGCTGACCTTCATCTTACATCAATTAGCTACTGAACTACTGGTCTCCTTAAATCCTACATGGAAACGTTTGAGGAATTGCGGATACTCTGGAGCACTAGTACATTATGAGGAAGGAAGAAGTTACAGTGGCTTGTACATCATGTGCCCTCTGGTCTTTAGTGTCCTCATAAAACCGCCTTGTGTGTCCCTCTCAGAGAATGAGTCAGAGTCAGGAGGAGGATCTGTTAGAAATTCTCAACTAACTTTTTCCACTCCCTCCCTAAAGCTGTTATTGTAGCTTAAACAGGTAATATTTCAAGCAAAGGATGAACCAGATCACTGAAAAAGTGATGCGTTGAGTTTTGTTGATTCAGATGTGGATACTCTTTAAAAAATGGTTATGGGTTTGGACATATGGTTCTAGGAACCTTTAATTGCTATAGAGCCCTTCATTTATGTAGAGGGTCTTTCAGCTTTAAAAAGGTCCTTAGTTTATGCACATCTGATTTAAAATAATGTCTCTTTAGGCAGTCATCCTTTCAAAGGTTGTTTAAGTAAACAAATATGGTTCTACCCTGGCATCACTCCAAAGAACCCCATTTGGTGCTTTCATTTTTTTCTATTCATACCTTTTATTATATGTATTTTTTGGGTACTTTTTTAATACCGTTTTTTTTATTAATTATTTCCAAATGGACAAAAAAATCATAATCAATAGTCTACAGTGTGAGCAAAATGAACAAGATCATTTAAAAAAAAATTAAAAATGCAACCAGAATTTTGGGCTAGAAGCACCAATACAAGAACAGATTTTGACCAACTTCATTATAAGTTTTCATTATGCATTTTTAGCCAATGGCCTCAGATGCTACCATATTTACAGGGCATGATATGAATATTAACCTGTTGCATGGCATTCAAGTCTCTAGGTTTAGTTAAGAACTGCTGATTTACTGCAAGACTCATATCATTTGCCTTTGCTGTGTTCTAATTTCAGTGAATGAGAGTCTCTGGTTAAAGAGTTGCACAGTGGCGAACCTGAAGCAGCCAATACTGAGTTCAGCTACATATTTGCAGTGCACTGCTTAGTTGTATTGCCCAATTTGGCCCAATCAGATTAAAGCCAAGTGTTGATTTCATGCGCTGGCATTTAAACAGGCTACTCAGTCCACAAGGAGGATATAATGGCGTTTGAAAGTTTGCGTTTCTGTTTATACAACAGAAGAATCTTCCAAGTGAAGTGTTTCATTTGATTGCACCGAGAAGTTAAAACTAGGAGAAAACTATACAGTTTGTATAGTTTGTAGGTGTGCTGTAAAGATTGTGGCTTCAGGGCTTTTCGAAATGAAAATGCAGTAGAAAGTAGCTGCGCCCACAACTAACGATGGGCATTCTGGCTTTTTTGAATGAGTCAGATCAGACCATTAAGAGCAGATGCTTTGAGCTCCAAAACAACTCTTCCATTGTTTTTTGTTGAACAAATCTTAATTTCCATTTTAATTGACAAAAATGAACAAAAATTATGTTGTATTATAAAATACTATTACAATAAATGTGAAACTACTAAGAGCTGGCTTTCCAGTAAACAGACTTGCAGGCCAAACTCATAAGACCTGCTGGTACAAAGACATACTTTGTGTTAATTAAATAAAAGACAAGAACTGACCTGAATAAAATGAAAGAAACTTCAAGAAAAGAACATAGTAAATACTGAATGACCGAAAATGATAGCTTCTAATGTTCTGGTAGTCCTTAAGGGCTT